CACCCAGTCCTAGGAAGTCACTACCTCATAATCTCTATTTGCATCACTACTACAACCATTTGTTCATGTATTATCAGAGAGATCACTCTCGGACACTCTTTCCTGCTCCATGAAATTTTAAGAAATAAAAGATATTGAAGATAATCTGGCAGATTTGTAAAATAATCTGGCAGATTTGATTCAATACACACCAATATGTGTCCATTCTCACATCCTGGAAGCCATTTCAGAGCACTTGTATCCAAGGAATGAATTTCTTTGAAGTTGCCTCTGTTACAGTAAAAATAAGATGAATAACCTACTGATTTCAATTTCCCTGGACCTCGTTTTCCTCGTCTGTATATGAAGGCAGAATTGTCCGTTGCATCCGATGGCTATGAGAATTGAGATGTGTGACACAGATGTGTTTTTCCATGGTCCACCATGGTTGCCCCGAAACAATTTTAGGGTTAAATTTAGTATTTCTTGGTTTCTACAAAATGTAGCCAAAGCCACAGTTCATTAATAAAGAAATAGATATTTTTCAGAAATTATATGGGGAGATGGGGAGAAAATGATTTTATACTGTAGACCCACAGCAGAAACATCATCAAATTCCCATAAGGTATCTCTGTTATACCCTCAGAATTTCTCTCCTTTGGCAGCTACCTAATCTCACATTGTTTTCTTCCCTAAATTAATCTCCCTAAACATTTTCCTCATCCTTCTTTGATTGTTTTGAAATATTGAGTTACCTCTTCAGTTTACAAATAAAGTTCAGCAAAATAAAAGCTTGTTAGTCAACTGAGCCATGATCATCTACTGTGCCTCGAACATGTTCTGTGAGCATCTCACCCACCACACCTAATCCAAGAGGCATCTCGAAATATCCCCTCTCCCGGGAAAATGGTACAGATTTGGAAAAGTCTGCTGCCAGGAAAATAAGATTTCCTCCATATAATCATATAGGTAAAGTAACTAGTTTGCAGTAAATGTTAATTCCCTTCCTCCTCTCAGCTTTTTCACGGTTTCTGTCTGAACACTTCCAGTTATGAGAGAATTTCACTCACAAGGTAAATTCATTCTATTTATCAACAACTCTACTTGTTGAAAAATGTCTTCTTATGTTGACTCAAAATCCACTTCCCTGTAACTTCTGTCTAATATATGCCATTTCCTCTAGGACAAGTTAGTACAAGCTTCATTCTTTTCCAAGACGACAGCTTCTTCCTTCACAGGTTTCTCCCAGTTACTCACTGCTCTTTCTGTGACAGACTTTGCAAATTCTGGACTGTACTGGCTTCCTTCTATTGAATAGGCTCCAACTTTTCTTTATAACAAACTAAATACAATATTCTAATGTGGTCTTTGATGTACTCTAAACTGCCAAAGGATCATTTCTTCTCTAGTTCTGGACACACTCTGATCTAATCAAAGCATCTCAATTTTCTCAGCTCTTAGGGAAGCCCTCTCAGGAGGCTCTTTGGAATAGCACAAGGTAGAAGTGAAGCAACTGTGTGAAGCCTTGTAATTTAATACTAATCATGCTGAAGCTGGCCACCAAAAACTTCACGAGTCAGGGATGGAAGGATGGGTAGAACTCAGAGCAAAGTCATCAAGTAGCATTAATTGAAGTTTCAACATCCCAAGTGACAGGTTCCTTAATCTAGTTGAACCAGGGAATAAATATTACTCAGTAACAGCTTGTCTGCTCTTACGTCTTCAGTAATTCAACAAATCAAATACTTAGTGTCTCTCAGGCACTGTGTTGACATGGTCCCATTCTCAAGCAAGTTAGAGCCTAATGAGAAAACAAACAACTGCAGTAAAGGCTATAAAAGAATATAATAAAGTCTAATAAGAAACAGGATAAAAGGAGGGACATACTTTAAGTGTGTATGGTCAAAAAAGATGTTTTTTGACATATGAAAGAAAAGGAAGATCTAGCCAGACATAGAGTAGATGAAGAGAGGTTATGGCAGCAAAGGGCACGCCAGCCGGGGGGTGGGGGGGGGGGGGGGGTGGGGGGGGGGGTGGGGTCAAAAGTCCCAAGGGAGAAAATGTTGGTGTGTTTGAAGGAGCTGAAAGCCTGTCAGTGTGATGAAAGCTTAGTGAATCAGAGGGGAGAAGGCAGAAGATGGAGATGAAGATAGAAAGATGGGCAAGGACCAAGTCACACAAGCCCTGGAGAGCCATGGGACGAAGACTGAGTGTTATGGAGTATGTGCTACTAAAAGTGTTCAAAGAGCTTTAAGCAAGAGAGTAAAATGATCTGATTTAGGCTTTAAGGAGATAATCCTGGCTGCTTTGTAAAGGATAAATTGGAGGAAGGCAAGAAAGGATATTGGAGACCAGTGTGGAGGCTGTTGTACTTCAGGTGAAATTGATGGAGGATTGGATAGCAATGATAAGTAACAACACAGATAGAAAAGATCAGAAGATTTGAAATGTAGTCTACTTATCACAGTCTTAACTGAAGTTCAACTCATCCGATCCAGGTATCTACATATACCTAAATACACCTAACAGTTTTTAAAATATGGCCCCCAGGCAGGCAGCATTGGCATCACCTGGGAACTGTTCAGAAATGCCAATCTCAGGCTCTACTCCACACAATGAGCCAGAAATTCTGGCGATGGACCCCAGAAATCTATGTTTTAACAAGCTCTCCAAGAGATTCTAATATGTACTAAAGTTTGAGAGCCACTGACCTAGAGGAATTCATTAACTTGTGACTTTCTGAATACAACAAACATGCATGGAGAGTTACTGGGCCAATAGTATGTAATTAAAATACACTTGCTCTATTGTTAATAAAGCCTGGAATAATACAACGGACTTCAAATATTATTATAGTGCTCTGCAATCAAATTCTAGTTTCTACATTCTAGGAACTTATATGAAAACTTTGCCATTAAGGTCAAGAGAATCCTCTTCTGGGCCTGCTGGAACATTTTTTACATAGTCCCAGTTAGGCTTCTACTCTTGTGTTTTCCATGATGCTTTGTATAAGGATGGTTGCATCCTTGTATCTGATCTCAGGCTTTAAAGTCTGCTTATAAATTTGTTCAAATATGTCATCTTTATTATTTGGATTCCACAGAGATTCCTCCTTCCAATATACTTGGAGAAATATTGCTTGGCTGCTTTGTTAATCATGGGAATAATCTTTTTGGTTTGCTTTGCTGCTCTCTGTCTCATCCTAGAAAGAGAGAGAAGTTTGATTTATCACACTTAGTAGACAAAAGTCACTACCTGATGGTGTAAATTAAAAATAGCTGTCTCCTGCATGCAGTACAGTGGCACTTCCTTTGGCATGCCATTAAACATGTACCTTGGAAGCACTGGTTTAAAGACATCACTATGATTGTATTTCACAACATTGTTGCGTATGCTACTTCATAGTGATTAGTATAGATTATTAATAATTACATATTTATAGTCTTATTCAAAAAGTAGTCACTTGAATTTGGACCTAAGAAAGGGAAAGACATTGTCCTGTCTAGAAGCCAGGAGTCAGGATAAAGTGATCATGTTCCCAGAGTGTGGACACCATGGAGAAAACATAAACAGAAAGATTTCCCAGTAAGAAACTCAGGTCTGGAAGAGTGTCTGAAACACTAGTGGGTCCTGGAAAAATTAATTGTTCATTCAGCTTTAATAAGGAATGAAGTTCTGATACATGCTACAACACGGATATACCTTGGAAACATGATGCCAAGTGAAAGAAACCAGTTACAAAGGGATAAATATTGTATGATTCCACTAATATGAGGTATCCAGAGTGGGCAAAGTCATAGAGACAGAAAGTAGCATAGAGGTTACCAAGGTCTTGGAGTAGAGGGAAATGGGGAGCTACTGTTTACTGGGTTCTGAGTTTCCATTTGGAAAGATGAAACAGTTCTAGAACTGGATAATGGTGAAGGTTGCACAACATTTTGAGTGTACTTAATGCCACAGAAACGTACACTTTAAAATGGTTAAAATGTTATGTATGTTTTGGCACAATAGAAAATAAAATAAAATTGTTTAAAGAAGGCACTGAGTAAATACTATTTACTGATATCTCCACAGTGCTATTAAAATGATGAAACAATATATTAAATGACTGTAAATACTCACTGTCATATTCTTGCATATTCTGAAATTATTATATTTACCCTCTTCATTGTCAGAAAACCTCAGAGTTGAACACAAGACATCTGTATTTAGAAAGCAGGCTTTGTTAGCAATAGAGTTATACAAACGTGACCACAAATATTACTCATTAGGTCTTGCAGCTCCTAGACTACATGCCTTCAGCCTTGGTCTATCAAATATTCTAGACATTAGTGACTAAATACCCATATTTTACAAATTTACTTTAGACCATATGTTCATCTTAATTCATCAAGGAAATAAAAATTGTACCATGAATCCCTTCCCTTTCTTTTTTTACACTAAACCCAAGAAGTCAGTAAAATGTAAAAGCTAAGCAGTTTCTAATTTTGGTTTACACATTTTCTGTAAACTGCAAAAATCCACCAGAGGAGGACTTTTGTGTGTAATAAAAACCTGCATAGTTTTCTCAGAAGGGGGTTTCATACCATACGATCCTCACCAATCTAGAAAGAAAGTGCAATTCCTGATCTGTAACTGCTAGCACACCCACCTGTCTCTTCTTCTCTAATGAGATGAAATTATAACGAGGAGCGCAATTTGCAAATATCCTCCCCTTGGCTGATTTACGCTTCTACATTGTGTGTCAAATCCTTTCTGAATCCTTTTTGTTGCATATATGAGAAGACATTTAGAAAAAGATTTTGGAATGCCTTTAATCTTCTAAATCAACAATAAAGAAAAAATGAAATAAAGGTCAAGGTTTTGATACACTGCTTCTAAAATACATCCCATACTGAGTAAAATACCATGAAATCATCTGTCAGAACCGACTTTCATCCAGAGACTACATTCCAAGAGCGTGAAGAGAGCGAAGTGGCTATTGATGGTTTTCTTAGATTCCAATGCACCTTAATCATAGTCACAAGACTGTGCGTTTTCATCACTGCAGGAGCTGGCAGAATTTTGTGACAATCCTGGGAAATGCTTTCAGATGGCCCCTTCTGTGAATTATGAATGTTTCACAAAGCTCTATGGTAAGTGGAATAGCCTTGTTCTCCACAAATGCAGGGGAGGATTAAGAGGTGGCCTTCCTTTGTTTCTTTGCCTTGAAATTTAATATTTTTTGCAAACACAGAAATTAAATCTTGATGAAGGTAAGTAGGTTTTAATTAGTTGTAAACAATTATTTTGTCTTATAAAGAATTACATTTGTTTATTGTATTCATTAGAGATTATATAAATACTACCATTTTCTTTCCAGACTGTGCTCAATGTGATATAAATAGATTTACAAATGACTGCTTTTAGTTGAAAAAAAAAAAAAAAACTCAGTTCTCCTTATTCTTTCTAGTAGTTTTCTATAAAGTCACCACAAATGCTGAATAAGCAAATACTAAACCATTGCTCCTAGGGGAAGTACAGTGTTAGGTTCCTGCAAGCCTCTAGTCACACTTTTGTGAACCTTGTTTTATGTGTGTCTCTGTTTAAATACATCTTACTTAATATATAGTGTTGACTCATTAACATTGAACTCAGCCACCAGCACAATGACTCGTGCCTGAAAGAAGTTTATTTAACACATGTATTTTTTCTGTAAGGCACATTACAGTTTTCTTCCACTGAGGAACAATAGACAACACTTCAGCACTACACTTGGGGACCATTTTAAACACTGAAATCACCAACAAGTAAGCACAAACATGAAAAAATGGCACTCAATACACTGAGAAAAGGACTCTTGTTTACAATATAAAAGCTAAAACAAGAAGACAGAGCATTGCCTTCCTTGACCTCAGCTGGGAACATGTGCTTCAGATGACTCAAATTCTTCCTGCTCTGCACATGTCCTTGAATGGCCATGAAAGCACTAATAGTGTTGATCTTGGGGTTATAAATAAATTTTAACAAGTAGGAAAACTTACAAATACCAATTTCTCAAATAATGGGAATCAACTATATACATAGTCACCTGAGATGTGTCTCCACTCAAGACCATTTTTCACCTCAAAATAGTGGCCAGTTGTTAGGACACGGTCAGGAAAGCCTGCCCAGTTACTGTGAGATCTCTGTTCCACTGTAGTCTTCATTCTATTTCCACAGACTCCAGACAGTCTTATAATAAAAGTTACCTTACTCCTTTCTCTTTGTTCTATAGGTTTCCATGAGTGAATTTGGTGTTATGGCAAGATTTGAAACTGTCTGACCTGTTAGGGGTGAAAACAACTTGCCTGGACTGTCTGCCTCTCACTGTGGGAGCAGCTAGCTCCTGGCTTAGAAGTTCTAGACAAGGTCCAAAGGCAGTTAACAGAGAACCCACATCTTAACACAGGAGATTCCAGGGAGTCACACAGATGGCCCCCATGGAGGGTCAAGCTGGACGAGGAAAAGGAGGTGAAATATGAGAGAAGTTGAGAGGATGCACAACAGGAAGACAAGCTTTCAAGGAGCTTCAGCATGTGCATCTGCATTTAGACCACAAAGAGCAACAGTGCTGGAATTTCCACTCTCTGAGGTGTTTGGTATGTGAATCCCACGGTAGGGAAAGTTGTTTTGAAAGAATCATGCAAAACTGAAAAGAATGTTCATTTAATAAGCATCAAGTTTTGCTCAAGCTTAATAGATTCTCAACTGCGTGACTTTAGGAAATACAATCTGTACAGTGTCTCTGAGGTAACCACTTACCACAGACAATAATACAACTCATACAGCTAAAATAAGCATCTCAAAAGTATCTGCCCAGCCCTCAGCTTCCCAACCACTCTGCGCAGATATGTGTCTATTTTATACCTAAATATTACCCAAAGTGGAAACTATCCACCTATATCTCATTTCTGTGTTTTATCACAGCAAGTCCCTATTCCATGAATTTGCTTTTGCCATTTTTATGACATATCAATGTCTGTCCAAAAGACTCCCATAAATTATTCAACTTCTAGTAGGTTACCTAAGAAAGGCCAAGAGAGGAATTTTCCATCAAATCAGTACTTTCTTCACCAGAAATAAGGGTGGAAGGCTCTCTCAACAAGACACCACAGAAGAGGCGGGTGGGTGGTAAATTTCTTCTTTGTTTTTCTTCTGTAGTGTTCCATAAATGCCTCCTCCATGACAGTTTTACTATGTGATAATTATTTGTTAATATGTTTGGTTTTCCTCTAGATCCAACCTTCCTTGATGAAAGGATGTTAGGTGCTCAATAAATGCTTCATGAAGAAATGAACCCAATAACATGCCAGGTCTGCTTCTATCTATACCTTATCACCTACATTTTTTGGCTTTATTAATTAACAAAGAAGTGGGGAGGGAGTAAATTTTTTTATTCTAAGAACTCACTCTGCTCTAAAGTCCTCTGAGCAACATGTGGGCATCAGGGTCTGTCTGTATCCCAATTAATATGTTTTCACTGAGCTTCCTTTCCAGGCTGGATGCACACAGAGTGCCAATGCAAGTGTTGAAGACCTGCTCCCCAACCCTACTTGGATGATCTGTTCTAGTCCTTTGGAAGCTTCTTCCTCTAACAGGATACTGTTCTAGAGATTATCCCACTGCCCAGGGATAAGGTAAGGAGGCAGAGACCTACACTCAGTCCCCAAATCTTATCTATGATTCAGGCACGAGATATCATCATGGCTACTGATCCTCTGCCCTCTTTCCCATGCAAGTGATCCTACAGGATTTCTAGTATTCTAAAGGTAGCCCAGAGTCCTAAAAGCATTTAAAATAGCATTTTCTGAAGTAAGGGAAGAGTACTTGATGTGGAGTCTGGAGATTAGGATTCAAAGCCAAGTTCCATCTCTTTGGAAAAGTCATTGGTTAAGCTTTGAGCTTCAGTTTCCTAATCTGTAAAAGGGATGCAATAATAACTATCTTGTGAAGTACAAATAATACAATGTGTGTGAAAATGTTAGATGAACTAAAAAGTTATGCACCTACATTTACTAACTTACTACATGTAAGTTAGTGAATGTAACTCAGCTCTCACCACACAGGCCTTCTATATGGTCCATTAAGTTCATTCCTGCCCAAGTCCTTTGTACTTCCCTTTCCATCTGCCTAGAGTGCTATTTGTTGGGTTCCTTCATGACTCATTTCTACTTCAATCATGTCTACTCAAATGTCACCTCCTCAGAGAGAATCTCCCTGACCTTTTATCACCTTAACCCACTTTATTTTTTCTTGGCAGCACTTATTGCTTATATTATGCTTGTTTGTCTACTGCCTCTCTCTTACTGAAACACGAGGTTTTTGAGGGCAAGTACTTTGTCTTTTGCTGTGTGTCTAAAAGCTATAATGACCCACAAATAGTAGGTGCCTATTAAATATTTGTAGAATGAATGAATAGATGTGTAAATATAAGCATAGGAACAAAAAACATCTAATGATGAGATGCAATTATAGCCAGAGAAGTAATGAAGATGAAGAGAAAACATTTGATCTGGAATTGACCCAAACCAGAATGTTAGAATTTTGTAAACAAAGTCCTATCAATTTTTTCATAAGCATAAATTATCAACACTTTAAATTCATATGTAGATTATAAATTATTGCAAACAACAACTTGTCCTTATCTCTTTGTATGCCCCCTCTCCTATTGCCAAGCAGAGTAGTCAGTGAAACTGGATAAAATGTTAGTTTATTTGTTTATAAAGACATCACTTCAATGCAATGCCCCTGACAACTTACTAGGGTATTGATTTAGTATTAATTCAGAGAAAAGGTAATAGCCCTTAGACAAATTAGACACTGTTTGTGTCTACAATTATATTTCTTGGTGATATTTTGTTCAAATTGACCCAATACTTGTAAAAACCTGCTAAAAATCAGACTGGGGTAGAGAGGAGGGCTCAAGAATTGCAATGCATGGAGGAAATATACGTGTTCCTCCATGAATTTCCCCCTCTTCCTTTCTCTCTTGCTGCTGTCACAACCTTGCAGACTCAATAAAGATGGTGATAAATTAGGAGAGGGGAGATGATGGAGGGACCTGTGGAAGAGGAAAGAGGACAACAGAAAATGAGAAGACGAAATCTAAATGAGAGCACATGAATATGGCAGGAGATCTATGAATCAAGAGGACCTGCACTGAATGTTCATCTTGTCAATGACCCATAGTTATGAAAGCCAACTGCACACAAAAAAATATACCTACAGGAATCTTGCAAGCTGTAGAAAAAAACATGGGATGGTTATTTTAGAATATGGACACAAATTCTTTATTTAAAGCATTAAGTAATGTTAATCTATTCATTCTGCAAATATGTATTAAATGCTAGCCATGGATATTACTAAACTATGGAGATTATTAAAAAGAGCCTGGAATCCCTTCCCTCTCTCTCTTGCTCCCTCTCTCATCATGTGACACATCAGCTCCCTATTCACCTTCTGCTATGATTGAAAGCTTCCCGAAGCCCTCACCAGAAGCAGATGCTGGTGCCACACTTCTTGTACAGCCTGCAGAACCATAAGCCAAACAAACTTATTTTCTTTATAAATTACCCAGCTTCCAGTATTCCTTTAGAGCAGTGCAAAATGGACTAACACAAAGGGCATTCAACAGAAAGACAATAGATGAAAGGCCATTGCAGGTGGAGGGGAAACCAGAAGCAGAGACAGGAGTTGGAGTAATGAGAATCGGCAAGGACTCTTTGAGGTGAATGGGCAGAATGAAAACATAAGAGAGCTGATATCAGAGCTACGAAGAACACCTACATCTAAAGCTTGTACAGAGCAAAAGGAACTGTGGTAAAAGGAGCCCCTTTTGCCATTAGGCTGGCTCTTGTAATTAGCTAGTGGAATATGGAAGGAAATGGTGTGTGCCAACCTAGGCCTGAGCATGAAATCATTTTGCTTGACCCTTAACTGGATCCCAATCCCCAAGGCTACCTGAAGCCATATTGCATATGGCAGGGACTCCAACAGCTTCAGTTCTTCATCTCCATCCCCACTCTTACCACCATCCCCTTCCTTAGAGTAAGGCATGGTCAAAAAATGAACTTACTGTGTTAAGCCACTGAGATTCACTGTAAGAGTAGCCTAATCCGATGAATTCAGAAATGTTTTATTTCAAGATACAGTACAATTTTAATAATTAGGGACTCACACAACCATTTGAACAGCTAGGGTACAAAGGTGAAAGAAAAACCACAGCTGGCCTACAGGAAATTTGGATAAATAGGAATCATAGGAAGTGCCTGTTGATAATCTCCCTTGACTGCAGCACCAAAGCGGGTGATTTGTAGAAGCTCTCCTAGAGGCTGCTGTAAATCTCACATCTGCTGGCTGCTCACATGTCTGCCTACAGCTGCCAACAGAGAAAAATGGCTTCACCCTTATTCTACCTTCCGAATCTTGTGCCATGCTTCTCTTTGGCAGAATCTAACTCAGAACTCTGCAGAAAGAGAAAATCTAGAAGATTTAATTTTACTGCCTCTACTGTGAGATGCAAAAGAGAGTTTGGAAAGGGACTAGGAAGACATTACGTTGATAACAAACTAGCACAAAACAAAAAGAAAGAAGAGCGGGAGGGAAAGAAGGAGGAAAAGCAACCTTTTTGTGGACTCTAAAAGATGGAATGGTGCCAATGTTGCAGGGATGTCATACAGAAGCAGTACTTAAAACAGAGCTTTAGAGTTACTGGTATAGACACCAGTCACCAATGAGAAAAGAGCTCAGTAACATTGTGGAGAAAGTACCTGACATAGTTGAGAAAAGGTGAGACACTTGGATCAAAAACAGGGAATAAAAGAGTAAGTTTTAAGGGCAATTTATATAACTTAAAAAGGACAGAGTTGAATCAAAAATAAGGAAAATGTGGCCAGGTGCAGTGGCTCATGCCTGTAATCCCAGCACTTTGGGAGACCAAGGTAGGTGGATCACCTGAGGTCAGGAGTTCAAGACCAGCTGGGACAACATGGTGAAACCCCCTTTCTACTAAAAATACAAAAAATAGCCAGGCTTGCTGGTGCATGCCTATAATCCCAGCTACTCAAGAGGCTGAGGCAGGAGAATCACTTGAACCCAGGAGGCAGAGGTTGCAGGGAGCTGAGACCATACCACTGCATTCCAGCCTGGGTGACTGGCTATTCCAAGCTTTTCATCTTATAAGCAAGAAAACAGAGCTCCATATTGTCCCAGTGAATTGCCAAATTTACACAATGGAGATTAAAATATAGGAGCTAGAATCCTGCTCAGGGGTTGCAGCCAAACCAGACTGAAGAATCTAGTTCTGCCCTGCCACCATCAACCCCCTACTCTTCAACCAGGCCTAGTACCAAGAGAAATTTTCCTGTGGATAAAGTAAGTGAGAATAGAAAGGTAGTGGCAGGCCGTGCTGTGCAATGAAACTGAGTGTCTCTCTCAAGATCTGGTTTACCACTACACGCTCACCAGAATGTCTAAAGGTAAAAATGTTGACAATACCAAGTGTTCACAGAGATATTAAGTAAGTGGATCTTCCATACAGTACTTTAGTAGGAATGTAAATTAGTACAGCTGTTTTGGAAAACTATTTGAAAGTATTTACAAAAGCTAAAATATGCTTATCCTGTGACCCAACAATACCACTCAGGTATGTGCCCAGAGACATGTGTATCTATCGACTAAAAGACATGAGCAACAATGTCTGTAATTACTCGGTTCATAATAGGACAAATCTAAAAACAGCCTACATGTCCATCAACATCTAAGATCCATCTAATTGAATGAATAAATATATGGTGGAATGTTTAGATAATGAAATACTGTACAACAATGAAAAAAACTATTGCTATGCTCACCAGCATGGATGAATCTCAAATATCTTCTGTCGAACAACAACAACAAAGCCAGACACAAAAAAGTCTGTAGTGCACGATTCTATTAATCAGACTCTATGAATAGGCAACTCTAAACTGTGGTAGGAGAATTCAGACAGTGATGGTCCCCTTTGAGGGGAAGGAGATATTGAGAGCACGTATAAAGGAACCCTTATATCTTTATGTAAATGGTGCTTGCATGGGTTTTTTCATATGTGAACATTTACCAAGGTGTGCACTTGAGATATGAGTTTTAATGTAATTTATATTTCAATAAAAATACATGTTTTAAAAGATCTAGTTTGACCATCTGGTGTGGTGAGTCACAATGAGGGGTTTCAGGTTCTAGCTCCATCATTTTCTATCCCTCCTATTCTGGGTAAATCACTTAACTTTCCGAATTTCAAATTCCTCATCTAGATTATGAAATCAACACCTACACACTGTGTTGTTGTATTAGGTAAAAAGTTGTGAGAAAGCCTGTGAGCGCTAAGATCCTGGTATTGATAACAATTATCCTCTGGAATTCTACTATTTTATACAGGCCTACTTGAACACAGATTCTATGTGGATATTTTTACCCTGTGTAGCTGTGATAGTTAATTGTTTATATCAACTTCACTGGATCCCAAGATGCCCAGATATCTGGTTACATATTATTTGGGGATGTGTCTGCAGGGGTGTTTCTGGAAGAGATAAGCATCTGAATCTGCAGACAAGAGTAAAGAGGATTGCTCTCTCCAATGTAGGCAGCCCAATTGATTGAGAACTAAATAGAACAAAAAAGTAGAGGAATGGAGAATTTGTTTTCTCTGTCTGACTGTTTGAGTTGGGACATCAATCTCCTGTCCTTATTCTCAGGCTTTCAGACTCAGACTGGGATTACACCATTGGTTCTCCAGCTCTCTGAAGAGAGAGCTTCCTGGGTCTTCAGCTTGCAGAGGGCAGATCATGGGTCTTCTCAGCCTCCAAAATTGTGTGAGTCAATACCTTATGAAAAGTAAATAAATATTATTGGTTCTATTACTCTGTAAAATCCTGACTAATACAGAGGCCAAAGAGCCCACCATTTATGACTTGAATGATTCACAGAGTAGGGCAAATGAAACAACAGTGATCAGGGCCCAGTTCCAAGGGAGCTAACCTCAGAAGCAATATTCCCTTAAGGCCCTGAATGGTTCATGAATAGTGTGTTAGCGCTAGCCAAAGTTGAAGGCAGCAGGGAGTTTCTCTTTGGTAGGCCTTGGGGAGCTTTGTCCTAGACACATAGATATTAGGGAAAAGGTGGAAATGCGCAAAAATGGCTGATATGTTTCTGAGGCCAGGGATATAACACAAAAATCCCTGCAGTTCAGGAAACAAAGAAAACTAGTGGACCTACAGCTGACAGTCGACCATGCCTTGCAATACCCTGTCCAGAAAGTCCTACCTTCCATGTTCACGCTCATTACCCCTGCATAACATCCTTATATAGAGTCCTCCTCCTGGAAGACTGTGGGGATTAACTATAGACAATTCTAAATAGTCCTCAAATCTGTTTAATTCCAATATCTCTCATTTTTCTCTTATTAAGAGGATACTTTATTGTTGTTTGCATGGTCTTTCATATGTATGTTTTGTAAACAACCCTGTGCCTTCTCTTCTGGGAGCTTCCTTCTCCATTATCTTACAACATTGCTTTAAACAAAAGAAGAACTCAATTAATGTTAGCTAGCACTGTGCCTGTCACATAAAAAATAACGAATAAAGATTTTCCAAATGAAGAATGAATTAACATGAACAAACACTGACCAATTTCTAACTGAATGCCTAATTTAGGGCCTGGAATAGTTTAGACAGTAAGAGTAATAGAGTTTGATGGATGTTCAAATGAATATCTCATTTGCAAATTCTAAGTGGCCATTCTCACTGTTGTTGAGACAATGACTTTCTTTAAATCAAAGTGTTTCTTTCTTCTTTTTAAAAATTGTATAATCTTGTTTCAGACCCATTTTTCCATACTGCATTCTATCAAATTTACCTTTTCAGAACTTGTGATACAATGAGGTCAACAACTGTTCTTAAAGGGAAAATTATATGGCAATGGGAAAAGGAAGGTGTAGTAGAGATAGCATTCTCACATAGGTCTTCAACCACTACCAGCAGCATCAACAGCAGAAGCAGAATTACAACAATAATAATAATTGGTAACGTTTGTTGAATGCGTATTATCTACCAGGGCCTAAGTTCTTTATATATCATTTAGCCTTCATAAAATCTCCATAAAGTAAGTTAAATACCATTATCCAAATCACATGAACTTTCTGGGATTCAGATTTTTCATCTGCAAAGTCAAAGTGTTGAAGCAAAGAATAACAATATAATATACAGCTCATTGCCACATACTATTTTAAGGTGCCCTCATATATACTATTTAATTTGCCATTCCAGTTACCAACTTACTATAGCATTTCCCAGGAACAGTCCTGAATTTACTGGAAACTACCCTGGAAGCCAGCTTTACATATCTTGACATCAAAAAGTAAACAAA